AAGTTACTTACTCGAGAACGTGAGAAGCTAGAAGACTGGAATTTTGAGGGGATGTTTCCTGGCAGTCCTGGCGGACAGTCTGAAATTCTTTCAACTAGAAGCATCTGCCGAAAAAACCGATACCAGCAGCGACAAAAACTGCGGGGAACTCTGCAAAAAACGTATCTTCGCACGGGCAGCCCGTGCGTTGGCCAATTTTTTTGATTGCTCTGTATGCGGGTTCTCAAAGGCAAAATAAGTTTATAGTTAAACCTCGCTTTCAGATACACCAAAACATTCAAGCTGCAAGACTACGGCCATCCTCCTAATCCAAAAATCAGTAGAAAACTGTACTTCCACGTTAACGTACGCCCAAGTGCCGTGTGTGCACACATCAAATTTTTACTAGCAAAATCGTTAACATCCTCCGCTCAAGGTAGTCGAACATGCAAGAATGCTAAAATTTCAGCACTGTGCAATACCGGCGGTACAGCCGATAGCTCTCACTTCCGACCGCGGAAGAAAATTTCATCAGGAATATTCTCAGTATGACTGCACATGTCGAACTGTACAGCAATAAACGCTTTATTAACAGTTTTAATAGCACAAGAATTGGACAGAAATGCATGGACGTACTGGGAACTCTGATGCGCGTCATTTTTTTTTAAAGTTCGAAAAATACAATAAATTAGTTAACTTTGTATTAGCAAAGAACATTTTGAACTACGGCAACAGCGTCATGAGTTCCACACACCGGTGTGAGCTGTGTTTAAGCATGGCGAGAGTAGACAAAAACAATGCGCTGTGTTTTGTCAAGCCAAATGCACACAATACGAATTCCCAGCTAAATTAATATTATTTCTACAGTGCAGCACCTAGGATGCAAAGCAGCACTTTCTAGAAATGCATTTTGGTAAAAATAGCTTCAAGACATGTGCAGTTTAAGCAAATAAAAAGGTACGGCATAACTGTACGCATGACAGAGTAATGCATAAAAAATGTTGCGCCTTTGTGCTATTATGCGCATAATGTTAGTACAAGTAAAGTCAAACACATTTCAATTTGACAAAGAAAATTCGACGACATCAAAGAAACAACTTCTTAAACAAATTTGTGCCGGTATTAATGGCACAAAAGGTGTGAAAAAGCGCAAGAAGTGGAAGCAAATAAGCATAGCAAAGAACACTGATCACTAAAAGAATCCGATCTAAATAACAATCTGAAACATAGAAAAATAGCTTTTATTAAAAACATAGCCTTTATTCAGAAAAAATAAATAGCAACGCGCACCAGACTAGCCGGTGCGATCATGCGTTTTGTGCATTTCAGCCCATCGAACAATTGCCTATTAATGATTTTCACTGCTTTGCACTTTAGCCTGTGCAAAAGTAGTTCCAACATTCG